TGGGAACGCTGATGATGGGAACGCTGATGATGGGAACGCTGATGATGGGAACGCTGATGATGGGAACGCTGATGATGGGAACGCTGATGATGGGAGCGCTGCTGATGGGAGAAGATCCGGCTCACAATCTCTCGAAATACCCGCCAGATGCGAGGCCAACGCGCCCACCGTCACCTCAGACCAATTCACCCGAGACTCAGGATGCAAGTCCGCGCTGTCCGTCTTAAGCTCGGGTACAAAGTCTTGAATGGGCCGGGAAAAGATGGCCAAGCCTCGAGATACCAAGAGAGTGTAGGTCGTGAAGAGCTTGGAGATGCTGCCGATTCGAAAGACGGTATCCGCGTTCACCGTCTTTTGCGCGCGGTCGGTCGAATGGTAGTATTCAAACACGGGAGCGTCCTTGAAAATCGAGGCTGCGCGGATGGAGACCATCAGCGATCCGTTGACATCTTTGCGGCACTCGGCCGAGAGTGCGCTTGATAGACTGTCTTCCAGGCTCGACGTCAGACTACTCGAGTTTGGAGATGCTTCGAAAACTGGCCCCAGGAAAGTGTCGAAGCCTAAGCCTGGGCTCGCCGAGCCGCCGACAATGACACCTCCGACCAAGGCTGCTGCAATAATCGATCTCATTGTCGCTCAAATGTCGTCAGGAACGTCGGATTGCAATCGACAGGTCGAACCTTTCTGCTAAGTCGAGTCAAGTCCAAGGAGGATGAACCCGGATACTTCGACAATGCTTGGAAGGAGAGCATAGTCGTTGCACGGCGTACGAGTTGGCCCTTTTGTGTTGAATTTGGACAACTCTCATTGACAATCAGCCTACTCTGCGTCGCTCCATTTGAGTATCCAGACGTTGGGACGGTGGTTTCTGATTCGTTGCGTCGTCTACGCAGGCCCGAAGAGGATATAGACTGGGGTCTTCATCTTCTAGGCGAGCGGGGCCAGGCAGCCATATTTCATTGTGGGACTAATATACCGGAGGCCAGCAGGAGGAACGGCAATGGAATCGTTGCTCCTTTTCGAAGCAGAAACATTGTTGGTCTCTACTGAGCGTGGCGCCACAGACGATGGCCCGGTGGCCCGATGGCCCGGTGGCCGAGGGTGTCATTGCGTCCTCACTAGTGCTTCACCAAGTAACTTGAAAGAGTAGATGCTGCCAGGGACCTTTTGGTCCTTCGGGCAAGAGAGAGCAACACACTTCCGAGGAACGTTGGACAGGTTTGATGTCTGTTCCTGTTGAATGGACACGCATTGTCTCGGGGATTCGGTGCTGTTCCAAAAATTCCTCACTCAGCCCCTTTTCCTCCAGTGACTTGACTACGGCGCTGACTTGTGCCATGGCAACGCCACTCCATACTCCTTCCGACTCCGGCACTTCCGATAGCAGTCGGATTGCCTCATTTCGTAACCGCCGGACCCGACAGCGAGTGGCTGTGAAATAGAGTGGCTGGACAACACCAAGCCCGAGAAAGGCAGCACCCTCACTCGGACCCGAGAGCTTACTGTGAAGAAGTGTGCGTGACAAAGATACGATGCTTTCAAATTCACCATCAAACTGGTCGTAAATCAGCTCCTCAGCATGGAGAGCCGTAGCGGCTTGGATGGTGGCAGCCGTATGATGGCAGGAAAGGGCGCGGACATGATCGTGTACTGGAGCGTCTTTGGGAGGGTTGCTCTCAAGGAGAGCCTTGAAATCACGCCCCCATTGTTGCAGTTGCAGGCTGATGCCCTGAGCTTGGGCCGCAATCAATGGGGGAAGATCGGCAGGATCGCTGTAGCGCGCATCGTCAGCTGCTCCTCTGAGAAAGGACCAGAGCTGACTGAGGCACCGAAATAGCTGGCTCTGTGCACTTTCAAGAGAGTCCAAAGAAGAAGGAGCAGGCTGTGCCAGGTGTCGAGTCAGACGGGGCAGTCTGCCTTCGATGAAGCTTGAGCCTTGGACGTCAAGTTGGACAAAAGCATTGGCAAGCTCATGATCCAGTGAAGCTGGGCGACACCATGTCAGCAGGTCGTCAGAATGTGAACCACCGAGATAAATCACCTTGAAATGAAGAGACTACATGGAGACCCATTTCGAGATGCAACCTGGCTTCGGTATAGGCGCCCTGCATGAGCTCGAAACAAACACCTAGCATTGAACAGATCAGTGCTGCCTGGATCGAGCCTTTGTCTTGCCGGGACAACAGCTCGCGAAAGGCTCGGACACCCTGGCGGTACATGTGGATTGCGAAGACTGAATTTGCGTCCGGTGCTCGGAGCTGATGCGCAGTAACGGCAACAGCAATGTAGCGGACGCAAGTCTCTTGATATAGCGCTTGTAGGACTAATCGGTCGAGCTGCGGGTTCGGTGTGAATCCGGAAATCGAGGCCAGAAAGTGATGGCGAAAGGCATTAAGGCATTGAAGTTCGAAATCAGTATCAGCGCGTGCATCAGAATCTCTGCTTTGACTTCGACTCCGCGGCAGGCTCATGCTCATGCTTGAAATGGTGGCCGGCGCGATCCATTTGGCCGTTTGTTGCGCCTTGGATGCTGTGGCCGCCACATAGCCGTCGCACTGTCGACCACTGCCTAGGCATTGCTGACAGGCCGGCTTCGTTTCGTCGCATTTGACTCGCCTGATCCTACTTTCTCGTTAGAGTGGATAAGGGGACAGTCATTAAACATTGTATTGTCTGATGGACTGGGGAGGGGGGAGGGGGAAGGAACTTCACGTCCAAGACTTCAGCCAACACCGCTTGCACCGCTTACCTGCAGGTGGCACAGCCGAGCCGAGATCGGGGCAAGCGTTTCCTGATCTGTCCCATCCAGTGACAGGGACAGTGACTCCGCTGCAGGAGGAAGGTTTCTTGCTGGAAGGGTTTTCAGGTGATGAAAAAGAGGCCGCCGGGGTTCAAGTTCAACTTGTCGACCGACACCAGGCTCAGGCCTCCTTGCCCTTGGCAGCCTGCTCCGGACGGCTACGGCTCAGGAGGCTCAGCTCGACTGGCGCCACGCACAGGCCTGGGGAGCCCCGTAGCCCCAACATATATATATATATATATCAACGCGCGCTGATTGGATGCTTCGTCTAATGTTCGCCAGGTCCGGACTAGTCGTCGTCGCGCCCCCGTATCTCAAGAACGGCACAGCGTCGAGTTTGGTTTGATCAAAGGAAGATGAAGATGGGCTTCTGTAACCCCCAGCCTGGGGGGTTGAGGAGCAGCACCTATGCCTCAGCCTACGGTATCCTGTCTCTTACAGGTCTATGCCCGTTGATGTTTCTTTTCCGTTCATTTCTCCCACGCGGCCTATCCTTCCCCTTTCCCCTCCTGAAGGTGAAGACTTGAGTTGGCCTGATCGTTGATGGATTTGCAGCGCACGGTGGACGGTAAGTGCCTCGAAAGGGTCGGAGCTCCAGGTGCTGACGATGAGGCAGACACTGGGCGTGTCCACCTGGACCTGGACTCCTACAGTGAAGATGAAATAAATTGGCTTCTCAGACGGTTTCTGCCTCCGGAGAAACAGGGCTCCCAATGCTCAACCCTGCCCCAAGCCGATGACGCTCCTCAATACCAGTCGGAGCTCCCACCTCCGCCATTGAATGTGGTTATCCAACTCATTGGATCTCGAGGCGACGTCCAGCCGTTTGTTGCATTGGGCATGCTGCTGAAACAACGATATGGCCACCGAGTCCGAATAGCAACCCATTCCAGATTTCAGCGTTTTGTCACCGAGCACGGACTGTTGTTCTTCGACATCGGAGGCGATCCTGAACAGCTGATGAGTTTCATGGTCCAGAATCCTGGATTACTCCCTGGATATGCTTCTCTGCGCGAAGGGCAGGTCAAACTCCATCGTGAAATGATGTTTTCCATCTTCAAACGTGCTTGGAAGTCTTGTATCGAGACTGGTACGTCCCGTATCAAGCCTGCTGTCCACGCATAACAGGTCTGATCTTGTAGGAGCCGACGGAACTCCCTTTGTCGCAGATGTGATTGTTGCAAATCCTCCGAGTTTTGCCCACATCCATTGCGCAGAGAAGCTGGGGGTCCCGGTGCACTTGATGTTCACGTAAGGTTTGCGTCCGCAACTTGTGTCACCATTGCTGAAGTCCCATTTCAGGATGCCTTACAGTCCGACGGGAGCGTTCCCTCACCCACTTACCAATATCCGAGGAATTCCCTTTGGCAAAGACCTGTCCAACCGTCTTTCATACTACATGGTGGAAAGATTAACGTGGTTGGGACTAGGGGAGGCCGTGAACCGCTTTCGCGAAAACGTCCTCCACTTGGAGCCATTGAACTTAGCCAGGGCTCCAAACCTCGTGCAGAAACTGGGAATCCCACATACCTATTGCTGGTTGGCGAGAACCCTGCTGCCTTGCGGTTGTAAGCGTTGCTGATAGATCCCCAGGAGTCCTTCGCTCCTGTCAAAACCCAAGGACTGGGCTGCAGGTATCTCAATTGCGGGCTTCTATCTGCTCCCGGATGAGGACACCTCGTTCAACCCACCATCGGACTTGTCTCTCTTTTTGAAGACGGGCGACCCTCCGGTGTATATTGGCTTTGGATCCATCGTCATGGGTGATTCTGGTAAACTAACAAGTCTCGTCTTGGAAGCTGTCAAACAGGCAGGCGTCCGAGCAATCATCTCAAAGGGCTGGCTAGGACTCGGAGATGGTCAACCACTCCCCCAAGATATCTTTGCCGTCGATGATGTGCCCCATACCTGGCTATTCAGGCACGTGTCGGCCGTTATCCACCATGGAGGCGCCGGGACGACGGCTGCTGGCTTATGCGCGGGAAAAGCGACCGTCATTGTCCCATTTTTCGGCGACGTAAGTCAATCCACCCTGCTCCGCTCCCACAAGAAGGTATATTCGATGAAACTGACCATATGATGCATCTAGCAATACTTTTGGGGTAAAGTCGTACATGCTGCTGGAGCAGGACCTCAACCCGTGGAACACGTCAATCTGACGGCAGACATACTGGCACGACAGATCAGAGAGGTGATGGATCCGAGGATACAAGCAAGAGCCAGGGAGATCGGTGCGGCCATCCAGCACGACAGAGGCTGTGAGAATAGCGCACGAAGCCTTCATCAGTCTTTCGATTTGGATGCGGCCAGATGTCATCTGATCCGAGATCGCATTGCGGTCTGGGAGATGAAGGGTTCCGGAGTGCGTCTCAGCTGTCTTGCCGCCGCAGTGCTCGTGGATCGTGGCTATATACAATACGGTCAGCTAAGATTGTAAAAAGAACCCCCATGTTGTACTTTGCCATGGAGAGTTCACGAACTGATCACTCTTCACTCTTGTGCTTAGGCTGAGACACAAGGAGTATCGGATGGAGGACAGACCAGTTGATCCTCTCTCGGGGGGAGCGTTGGCCTTCCTCGGATCCTTTCAAGACATAGTTGGTGAAAGCTACAACTTCTCCAAGCATCTGGTCCGGGCGGCCATCCCACGCAGCTCTCAAGCGGACCGAGACAGACCCAAAGAAAGCAGCCAAACTGAAGGGGGTTCAGGTTTTCCCACGGCCACGGCTGACCAGCGACCAGTATTGAGGGACGGCTCTCCGGCACTTCCGGGTCAGCAGCCTGAAGATCCTTCCGACCATCGAGTAACGACGCATCACGCTTCAGGCATGTTAAAAAGTGCTGGCCGTTTCAGCAAGGCGGTCGCGTCAACCCCCTTGGATTTCTGCCTGGGAATCGCACGTGGCTTTCAGAGCATCCCCATAATGTACGGTGACAAGACCGTACGCCACAGGGAGAAGGTATCAGGAGTCATGAGCGGCGCCCAAGTCGGAGTCAAGGTGAGCGAGAGATGTCGCTGTCTAATTTTCGGCCCTGAGGCTGTCATCCTACAGATTACTGATTCTGATGCTGATCAAAACTTTTCGAGTAATCAAGGAACTTGCCTATGGCTTCTACGACGGCATCACAGGCATCGCCACCCAGCCAATCCGTGGCTACAAAGAGCACAATGTACCAGTGGTGGGCCTGGTGAGCGGCATTGGCAAAGGCCTGGGAGGACTGGTTTTGAAGCCCGGCGCAGGCATCTTCGGTCTTCCTGCATACGCCTTCCAAGGCATCTCTCAGGAGATGCACCGAGTCTTCGGGCGCAATGATGAAGCCCACATAGCCCTCAGCAGATGTTTGCAGGGCCGGTGTGAGCTCGAATCTTGCCTACCTTTGGACAAGGAGAAATATATCAATGCGTGGCGTTGTTTACTAGGTACCCATATGGGACCCGGTCACGGTCTCCATCCCACGCATTCGGAGGGTTTGGTGTCGGAGTCAGTCATGTATAGGGCCGCCAGGACATCACAAGAGGGCCGGTGCCGATAGATCGGTGGAGAGAAGCGACGAGATGGAAGGCAGAGAGGGAGAGGTGGCTAGTAGTAACTTTTCGACCACGCGATTAAGTTCGGGAGGGGAAGACAAGTATCGGTTGGGACGTATAGGAAGATTTGATCGTTCTCTCCATCTAGTACTCTACTCCGTACGGAGTACTCTACGAGTATTTAACTTGTCGAGAAGATAACGAGGGCTAGGAAAGAAAGAATCATGGCTAGAGAAGAAATTCGGAAGAGGTGAGCATAGGGCGGCCTCACCCTCGTCCTAAAACGGGGTGAGTTCGGGGCTGTTTTTACTTGGCTCGGCAAGCCTTAGGGACTAGTTGCCACTGCACTCAGTGTCATGCACCTGCAATGGGAACGACGGAACTTCCATGTTTGACAGACAAGATGCAAGGAAGCCACCGCAAATCACGGTCGCGGTCGCGGTCTCCCCATCGACATGAAGGCAAGAGATCCCGCCATCGGTCTCGATCACCTCGCCACGCTTCCTCCTCCACCAGAGCCTTGCCTTATGGAGCCCGCGAGATCTCACGGCACGACCTGCAGATGTATCGACCCATGTTTGCCTTATACCTCGACATACAGAAACAATTAGATATCGAGGATCTCGACGAGAAGGAAGTCAGGGGAAGATGGAAGAGCTTTGTGGGAAAATGGTACAGTCGCATCCGATATATGGTGAATGGAACTGGCGCCAGGAAGTCGCTAACATGGCAGGAATCGTGGAGAGCTAGCTGAGGGTTGGTATGACCCTAAAACGCTCGAGAAAGCCAGGGCTACGTCCTCCAAGAGCGAACCGAACAGGGCTGGTGCAGGATCAGACGACGAAGACGAATACGGTCCTCCTCCGCCCGCCTCAAGTAGCACTGTGAGAGATGACAGGGGTTTCCAGGCTCGGGGTTATGGAGCCTCTATCCCTTCTCTTCAAGATCTCCGAGCGCGTGACGAGCAAGTGCAAGAGGACGCGAATGCGGCCAAAGACAAGCACCGAGAGACTTTCCGTCAGGAACGAATGCTGGAGCGCAAATTGCAGAAGGAACGGCTTGACGAGATCGCACCTCGTGCCGAACCCGGCACTCGCGAGCGCCAACTGGAGAAGAAGAGAGAAATGGCCGAGTCCAACCGCGCCTTTGCTACGTCCAAGGAAGAGGGAGATGTCGATCTTCGAGAGGCCGAAGTCATGGGCGACGAGGATAGCCTGGGCGAGCTGAAGAAGATGCAGAAGGAGAACGAGCGGCGAAAAAATGACAGGGAGATCCGCAAGGAGGAGATTCTGCGGGCAAGACGTGAAGAAAGAGAAGCGCGGTTGGCGAAAGTCAAGGAGAAAGAGGACCGCACGATGGCCATGTTTAAGGAGATTGCAAAGGCAAGATTTGGCGGAGGAGGGGCGGAAGGGGGGCACTCTTGATGAAATTCAGGCAGTTTATTATTTATTGGAAGCCTCAACTCGAGGTAAGAGCGGCAAGAGCAGCAACCGCCTCTGCGCCATCGGCCTGCTGCGGGAGAGCAGACCCATTCGTAGACGGGACACCACCTGCACCTGCAGATGATGCAATGTTGAGATCCTTCCCCTTATTAGCCGCGGCCATCTGCCATGCTGGAATCGCCGCTTTGCTGCCCGAGGACGCAAACGGTGCCGCGGATGCTGGTCGAGGTGTTCCCGTCGAAGAAGCTGGCACAGACGTAGATGCAGGATACGTTGAGCCGGCACCTGTGAAAGACGTTGGTCGTGGATTGGCTAGATTGGTGCTGTTGTTGGGAACAGCGTCGATCGAAGGAGTCCCGACAGCACTGTTGGCGTTCGGAACTGTACCAGGCTGGGTCCGTGGGATAGCAGGACCGGCGGTGCTAAACCCGCTGGAGCCACCCATACGGTTTCCCAACAGCAACTTTAAGCTCCCCAATTCCGTATTCAGCTCTTTCAACTGCCTTTCACTCGCCTCCTTGACATTTTCAATCGACCTGGGTAGACTGTCTTTCATGTTTTTCAATTCGGCCTCCATCCGCCGCGCGTCGTCTTCTCTCCGTACGTTCGCGGCCTTCAACTCTGCCACGATGGTCTCGACGTCCGCGATAGTAGTATCCAGTCGCTGTGTCCGGGCTTCTTCCGCCTCCTTCAAAGCAGCCGTGTCGGACGACAAGGTATCCAGCAGTGCGAATGCCTTGTTGAACTGCTCGTCAATGGCCGCCTTGTCTTGTTCGAGCTGGGGTGGCGTGGGTGGTGCTATGAGAGGCTTGATATATCTCTGGGCAAGCACGTAGAGACCATAGCTGGCTCCTCCAACCACCGTCGCCATGATGAACCAGTCTCGCCAATCTCTTCTCGGAGGCTCAGGAGGTGGCGGTGGAGGTTGCCAATCGCCATATGGGTTGTAGGGATATGGATATCGTGGACCGGGTGGCCCTCGACCCTGTTGAGCAGGTGGATAGTATGGGGCATTCTGCGCAGGTAACTGAGAAGGCTCGGTGCTAGCGCGTGCAAGAGACAAATCAATCTCTTCCTGGGTGAGATTTTTCGATTTCAAGAACTCAATCCGTTTCTCCAAGGGGGCGGATGCGACCGACGGGTCTTGAAGAAAGGTGACGGCTGAAGAAACGAGGTCCTCGCGCGGTGCCATGGTGGCGATATAGGTCAAAATGAAACCAACACGGTCACATCCAGGATGGTATTGTCGTCCACCTTCACCCACTCTGTGTTACAAGGGGAGATATGAGGTTGTGATGGTAGTGTCGAACTGGTGCTGGAGATGGCTGATGTCGTGGCTAAGGGACGCAAGTCAAATCCTCGACCTCGACCTCCAGCCATCTCAGATGCCAAGCCCGGAGAACCGAGGCACGCCCGGGGAATCACGTGCCACGACCGCTTAAGCATGGGGCAAGGCTGATGTGCGGTCGCTCTGGTAACTTGCGGTGTTTGGGTATCGGCCGCCGGGCGCCACGCTTCACGCTTGGTGATCGTCCTGCGACCTGGGACCTGTTGACACTTCCCACTTCCTCTGACCCGCTCCACTGCACCGCTTTACACATACAACCATAACTGCGATCGCGTTCGCCGCGCATTTCAAACAGTGACCCTTTGGACGGATTCCATAGCATTGCATCGCTGCAAACTTGGAAACATCAGCAGAATTCCACGCAGGACTAGGACTGGGCGGGCGCCATGTCACAACCAGCCGGCTTGTTCAGCGTGCGTCGGCCTCGCGAGACCTTGGGCAACATCCAGAACTTCTCGGGAATACCGCAACCTGCCTCTGCGATCAAACGCGTTTCTTCGAGCAACGAACTACGGAATGCCCCCTACACAGCTTCCCACGTCCGGTCGACCTCGATAAACCAGAGCATTCAGCGACCTGCGCAGCCAAACTTCCATCGGTCCTCTTCCGGCGGCAATTTGGCAGAACTGGGCATGTCAACAGTGCGCCGGTCGGCTTCAAACAATGTCTTTGGGAGCGCGCACACGGGCCGACAGAGTTTGGCACCCAACCAACTATTTGGTTCGCAAACGCCCGCGACCCAAAGCCTCCAACGCCGAAGTAGTATATTCTCTCGACCCTCTGCCCACGGACCTGTTGCGCATCAGTCATTCTTTTCGCAGCCTCCCGCCCCGGCCGGCGCACCGAAGGATCCAAGACCACTGCGGGACTCGTCGTATAGGGCGCGACTGAGTCAGGAACTGTTAGACTACCTGACCCAAAACAACTTTGAGCTGGAAATGAAACATTCGTTGACACAAAACTCGGTCAAATCGCCCACCCAAAAAGACTTCACGCTGATGTTCCAATGGCTGTATCGGCGGATTGACCCCGGCTACAAGTTCCAAAAGGGTATCGATACGGAGGTCCCTCCGATTATGAAGCAGCTGAGGTATCCTTACGAAAGAGACATCACCAAATCCCACCTTGTCGCTGTGGGAGGCCAAAACTGGCCACGTTTCCTTGGCTTGCTCCATTGGATGATGCAGCTTGCCCAAATGTTGGACAACTACACCAGGGGGGCATATGATGACGCCTGTGCTGAAGCCGGGGTGGACGTTGCCAGCGATCGCATCGTTTTCCGATTTCTGTTCGGCGCCTATCAGGACTGGCTCCAGATGGGACCGGAGGATGACGAGGAGAGTGAGGAAGCAGCTCTGCAGCCACACATTCAAGCGATGAACGACGAATTCGAGCGCAGCAACTCCAAACACATGGAAGAGCTGAAGATGTACGAAGCCGAGCACGAGGCATTGAGGGCGCAGGTCGAAGAGTTTGAGCGGAACGCCCCCGACATGGCGAAACTTGACAAACACTTCAAGATCCTAGAAGACGACAAGAAGAAATTCGAAGAATACAACGCGAACGTCCAGGCCAAGATTGAAAAGTACGACTCCCGGATCAAGATCCTGGAAGCGGAAATCCAACGGACCGAGGCGGATTTGCAAGTGGTGGAACAAGAACGGCAGGGTCTCCAGCAATCGGTGGACCGGCAAGGTCTCAACATCCAGGACATTGATCGCATGAACACGGAGCGGGAACGGTTGACCAAAAGTCACGAAGATGCACTGGTCGCTCTGGACGAGGTCAACAAGAGAGTGTTGGAGAAAGAGGCCGAGACGGCGCGCAAGCTCGAAGACCTCGAGGCCATTGTCAAGCGGTACAACTCGCTGGGGTACCAGCTGTCCCTGATCCCCTCGACCGCAGTCAATGCTAAGGGCGCCGACTACGAGCTGAGCCTGAACGTGTCTTCGGAGAGCAACTTCTCCACGTCGACCTCACAATCACGGCGGCGCGGGTCGCCGGAATCGGATCGGCTCCTGGCGGATTTCAATGTCGGCTATTCTCCCGTGCACCTTCTGAACCTGGACCTCCGCGGCGCCGTCCGCAACGTGTTCATCGCTCTGCGCAAGGAGATCAACGAGCGTCGCAAAGCCGCGGCCGACGCGGACCTGAATGCCCGCGACTTCCTGGACAACATCTCGGAAGCGCTGCACGAAAAGAGCACGGAGATTGACAATTTGAACTACCGGGTCAACGAGGCCGGTCGGCTGTACGCGAATCTCAAAGAAAACAATAACACGATCCACATGCAGCAGACCAGCGCGATCGAGAAGCTCGAAAAAGAACTGGCGCGCATGAGGGAAGGGCTGGAGAGAGGCGTGGTCGAGCTGGAACAACGCGAAATGGAGGTGCAGGTGGCATGGGAGTCGATGCGCGAGGAGGCGGCCCGGGTGCGTGAGGAGCTACACTCGGGCGTCGAGCGATGTTTGGAGGATGTGATTCGGTTCAAGGTGCATATCCAAAAGGGCCTGGAGGAGTTTGAGGGGTGGGTGGGCGAAGAAGTCGAGCTGGAGTTGCTGGGGGACGAGATGGAAGAAATGGAATTGGAAGACAAGAAGCACGATGAGAAGAACCAGGTAGAATGATGGGGGGGTTAGCCTGAGCCTGATTCTGAGCCTGAGCCTGGGTCTGGGTCTGAGCCTGGGTCTGAGCTATGGTCTTTTACGAACATTTAATGTCATGTATTCATTTGTATCTCGACCTTTTCTGTCTCCTCCCGGTCGTCCTACAACAGTTGTCTTGTACCAGGTAGGTAGCCTTGTGGATATAGTATGGAGTTGACATCTTGTACCAGGTATCCTTGTGGATATAGCATAGTATAGAGTTGACGAGGTCGGCCGCCAATATCACTAGGTGGCTCAGCTGGGTAAGCTTCGGAACCAGATACTTGTACGGAGTATCTCCACGGTCTTCTACAAGACTTTACTGACCTGACCCTGTCACCTACCTGTCAAGATCAGCGAGACTCTGATTGGGCCTCTCCCAGCTACCTAGGTACTTATAACCTCGACGTCAGCCACCACCTCGTCTTGATCTACGTCTAACCACTCCCGACCGGCGGGTCATTATTACTCTCATCCCTGTAAGGTGCCTGTAACCTTTTGGGCGTGGTCTTCGTCGTCGTCGACAGAGCGGAGATCTTACATTTTACATCTTACACATCATAAAAGACATCAGACATCAGACATCAGACATCAAGCCCTGTACAGTCTAGATAGAGGTGAGAGAGCGCCCCGAGAGAGTACGGAGTACTAGTAACCCTAACCCTAACCCTAACCCTAGGTCCGTACTCCGTACCGTACACCGGACCCCAAGGTACCTAAGTACCTCCGTCCCTAACTAACCCTAGGTAAGATGTAGGTAAGGTACCTCTGTACTACTAGTAACCCCAGAGTTGAATTGGCACTTATTACCCCATCAAAATACCTGACTCGCTCACGGCTGCTTGGCTCCATGGCAAGAGTTGCTTTTTCCCTGGCCTCTTGATTTCTTTTGGTGCTCGTCATCTCTGTCGTTCAGCCCCGAATGGCGATTCCACTATGGCCTCATTTCCCCTTTCGATGGCGACATCGGTGGTTGGCCAGATGCCATCGACCTTAAGTATCGTGATGGCGAGTCGGCACGCACAATTATGTACAGTATCTACTATCCACTCCAGCAGTCTGGTGCTGCTGTTCTCTAGCCTTGTCCCACCCTTCCAGCAGTTTGGTGCTGTTCTCTACCTAGCCTTGTCCCACTCTCGCCCTCGCTTCCCTATTATACGGCACCCACCTAGCTGGCTGTATTCGGCACACGGCACCTAGCTGGTCTATTCGACACTATTTTACACGGCACTTAGCTGGTCTGTTCGACACACGACACCTAACTGGTCTATTCGCACTATTTTTCCCCAGCAAATATTCAATTCAATCAATGGCAGATCACGAGGACAAAGAGCCCGGCCGAGGTTCCATCTCCGTCTCCCGGTCGTCAAGTCATGTCGGTGACCACGATGCCATTGATCCGCTTAGCGGAGTCAAGCGTGGTCTCAAGACTCGTCATTTGTCCATGATGGCACTCGCGGGAATCATTGGCCCGGGCTTGCTGATTGGGTCTGGAGGTGAGGCTTTGAGACCCCTAGCCCCTGAGCCGGCCTAAGGCTGTGCTTTTTCCGTTTCGGTGTTGGTGTCGGTGTTGATGTCGGTGTTGATGTCGGTGTCGACTGACCTCCTACTTCCTATCCAAACTAAGGCTGTGCTTTTCCGTGTCGGTGAAGATGTCAACTGACCTCCTTCCTATCCAGGTGCTCTCGCCAACGGTGGCCCAGCCGCTCTCCTGATCGGCTTTGGCGTGATTGGCATCATTGCATTCAGCATCATGCAATCACTCGGCGAGCTGACCACACTCTATCCCAGCGGCGGCGCGTTCACCAGCCTGGCGGATCGGTTCGTAGATCCGGCGTTCGGCTGTGCAGTGGGCTGGAACTACTTTGTGATCTGGGTGGCGGTGCTGGCCAACGAATACAACGTGCTGTCGTCCATCTTTGTGTTCTGGAGCGACAAAGTGCCGCTGTGGGGGTACTTCCTGATCTTCTGGTTCGTGTTCCTGGGCTTCCAACTGCTCGGGGTCCGGACGTTCGGCGAGGCCGAGTTCTGGCTGGCTCTGGTGAAGCTGCTGGGCTTGACGGCCTACTTCATCTTCAGCATCGTCTATGCTTCGGGCGGCCTGATCGGCCAACACGGCGCCCTGGGCTTCCGATACTGGCACCACCCGGGCGCCTTCTCGCATGGCTTCCGCGGCGTCGCGTCCGTCTTCGTCTTCTGTTCGACCTTCTATGCCGGGTGCGAGTCGATCGCGGTCGCGGCCACGGAGACGCGCAACCCCAAAGTCGCCGTTCCGCGCGCCATCCGCCAGGTGTTTTGGCGCATCATCTTCGTCTACATGGGCTCAGCCTTCTTCTTCGGCCTGACCTGTCCGGCCAATGCCGACTCGCTGGTTAACGGGTCGGCGCGGGCGCTCAAGTCGCCCATGACCATCGCGATCCAGAACGCCGGGTGGGAAGGAGGCGTGCATCTGATCAACGCGTTCATCCTGATCACTTGTCTGTCGGCCGTCAACAGCTCCATCTACATCGGCTCGCGCACCGTGCTGTTCATGGCCCAGGAGAGGAAGGCGCCCAAGATCCTGGGCTACACCGACGCGCGTGGTGTGCCCGTGTTCGCGATAATCTTCACCAACCTGTTCGGCGCCCTGGCCATGATGAACGTCTCGACGGGCGCGGGAAAGGCTTACGGCTACATTGTCAACCTGTCCGGTGTCAGCACCTTTCTCGTCTGGGGTGCCATCTCCTTCGTCCACATTCGATTCCGCCGTGCCTGGGCCGCCCAAGGCCGCCACGCGCGCGACCTCCCATTCAAATCGCTCGCCTATCCTTGGAACGCCTATTTCGGCCTGGCCGCAAACCTGTTCCTCGCCTTGGTCCAGGGTTGGACCACCCTCAGCCCTTTCAACGCGGGAAACTTCGTCGATGCCTATATCCTGCTACCGCTCTTCCCTATCATCTACTTTGGGTACAAATTCGTCTTCAAAACCAGGTATTGGCGTCTGTCGGAAATCGACTTGGACGCCGGGAGGAGGAAAGACCTGGACGCGGCGGAGGTGGAAGCCGACGAAGACGCCATTGTTGACGACTATGACCGACCTGTGCCAAAGAAACCATTCTGGAAACGGGTGGCGGAAAACTTTTAGTTTTACTTGAAAGATCAAGTGGTCTCCACTGGGTTGAGGACCTTCCTTGGATCAAGTCGCCTTCACTGGATTGACGACCTTTCTGTCAAATCAAGGTTGAAATGTTCCATGTTCTCTATCAACGGGTCGCAGGGGGATCGCATGCTATATAGTATAGTATTAAGCAGCCTCTCTGGTTAAAGGTTAAAGGCAAGGCTGGGAATGCCTACCTTAAGTTTGACACTTTCACTGGATTGAGGACAAGGCAGAGGCAGTCTCAGATCTCGGCGCCATTGCCATGGGTTGAAAGGTCAAGTTCAGGATTACTCGTTCTCAACGGATATCGCCATGGGTATGGGTGAAAGGTCAAGTTCAGCAGCACTCACTCATAGTTGATGATGAACGGATGACGATGACGGGATGAATAATCCATACCAACAAAGATACCAGATACCAGATACCAGATACCCAGACACCCAGACGCCTAATGTAATAGGCACCTAGGTAGGTGTTAGAATTCACTGCCATTGCGCAGACCCCAGACCCCAGACCCCAGACCCCAGACCTCAGACCTCAGACCGTAAATTGGCATACTGGTAGCTTCCTGCCGGAACACTCTGGAACTTGCCCTTGGAGGGCTAAGGGGCTTAGGCCTTAGGAGCCGCTCAGGCTTAGGGGCTTGTGCCTCCTAATACATATTCAGGCCCTAAAACCTCAGGCTTGTGCCAGGGCAGGAATCCTCGGATGTGCGGGCTTAGGCTACTGTAAGCCTCAAAGATTGATTACGGGGTACTTGTCTGCGCTACTCCGTACACTCTGCCAACTAGGCATTCACCCTATGAACACAGGCACTGTTTCCTCCGAGGCCATCTGTAAAGGCCTAGACGGTCGTTGACCACTACAGCATAGAGTAAGACCAGTGTCAGTACCAATGCTTGAGCTTGAGAAATAGCTCTTCAGTCCTTCCCCTTGAAAACCATAGTCCTAACGTACAGCCACTGAACTTGTTGAACCATCTAAGAATGAATTCCTCAATGTTCTTCGTGTATTTCATCAGGGGGCGAGCTGGATCGAGGCCGCTTTGTCAGCCGTGCCCGTTTAGGACCGATGAGGCCTTTCCACTCCTCCAGAATTGATGCCTCGTGTTCGACGTCGTCCAGGAATCTGCAGAGTTCTTGCGCGGGGATGAAAATGCTGGCGCTTAAATCATTGAATCGTCCACTCTGCCTACTCAGACGGAGAACTAGGGCAGTATGAAGCGTCATCTCGCATAGAGCGTTCTGCTTGTCTCCTCTCCTCATCTTGCCATGCCCGTTTATCTTCTTCGTGTATTTCATCGGGGGGCGTGCTCGATCGAGGCCGCAATGTCAGCTGGGCCGGTGTGGGTTCGATTAGGCCTTCTTCCTTCATCTTTAATGTACGTCGTTCGGCGTTGTCTAGGAATCTGCAGAGTTCTTGCGCGGGGATGAAAATGCTGGCGCTCAAATCATTGAATTGCTTGCTCAACGCCTTAGGGGCGAACTCCTCAAGAGCGAGACGAAGGCCTGAGCCAGGGCTCTCATTAGGCGTACCGTCAGCATTCCGAAACACCTGATGAAAAGGTCAGTACTCCGTATTCGTGCAACGAATTGTCATCGTCTTAAGCCTACCTGATCTGTAACCGTCTGTTTGGCTACTAATTCGACGCCTCGATCCTTGATTTGCTGTTGTGCTTTCCAGATCGATAACGTGGCCGTTTTGTCATGCTTGTGCAAATACTCGAACTTGAATCCAATCACAACCCGAATATTACCTTTTGATCTAAGAATGTATTCATCGGCTAGCCGTGGGAGTGCCCGTGCCTTCTGAGACCACGCTACTTCCATCACAACTCCAGGATATTTTGCGTCTGAGTGATGAAACGATGCATCCGGATCATGCCGGCCGTAATCTGGGTTGTTGAATGTGATCGTGCTGGAACCGATGCAGCAGATATCTCTTGCGAATTTGGCGGAAGGGGAGTTGCCGTGTGCGATCTTGCCTAGATGCTGAACAATGTCGATCACGACTGCGATACCAAATCCCTCGTGGATTGTAGACGGCATTCTGAGCACAAATTGTTCGATGGACGGAAAGTAATCAAAACTGTGTTCCCTGTCAGCTACTTTGTTGTGCTCGTCATGATGTACATCCGTTGCCATACTGAAGTTTGCGGTTTAGGAATCCGTCTGCAAGAATTCTGGACTCGAGCGCAGTGTAATCACAGGGTTTCAGCTTGAATGCGAGCCAAGGTGTGTCACACTCAGTTCTGTAATTCCGGATGTCATCGATAATGTTGAATAGCTGCTCGGTCGATTTCTCTCCTGTGAGTGAAGGAGTGAGAGGATCGTGGGTGAAGCTGCTAGGTGGCGTAATTTCGGACTGTTGACAATGGTCTTCCCGATTCATCGTTGCGTCGTCTTCGCGATTCATCATTGCGTCGTCTTCGCGATTCATCGTTGCGTCGTCTTCGCGATTCATCGTTGCGTCGTCTTCACGACTCATCGTTGCGTCGTCTTCACGACTCATTGTCGCGTGGTCGAAAATTAGCACTTCATCCAACGCAATCCGATGGTTGTAATTTCAGACGGCTGATAATAGTCTTCGCGGTTGATTGTTGCGTGGTCGAAAGTTGTAACACTTTATCCAACGCACTCCGATGCTTGTAATTTCGAACGGACAATAGTCTTGGCAATTCATCGTCGCGTGGTCGCGAGGTGTAGCACTTTGTCTAACGCAATCCGATGGTTGTAGTGAAGGTAACGACCGCAGTAAACAAAGAACGTTGAAAATGGACATGGTGGTGACGGTCGTGCGGTCACTTATGGTGATTACATCATATCCCCGTATCCGGAGTACATAGCCGATGATTTACAGAGACACAGACATCACGTGATATCAAATCATTTTCCTCTACTCCGCCGGCCGTGGCCGAATTGATCGATCACAGTTGTGACGGTTGTAATATGTAAGTGTGTTACCACCAGAGTGATTGAAACTTGCAAAGCGTGAGCATGTCCAAGATTGGGTGTCGTCATTCACAGCAAAAAAAGAACAACAACTGTGGCTGGCACAAAGGTGAACATGGCATGGACAGGTGAACATGGCATGGACAGGTGAACATGGCATGGACAGGTGAACATGGCATGGACAGGTGAACATGGCATGGACAGGTGAACATGGCATG